ATACATGTTTGTTAATGAATTTTTTATGCAATTTTATTAGCTAACCATCACAGATAATCAAGAGTAGATCACTAAAAATTGACTAATCAGATATTTGTCCTCCTATGAGATTTGAGCACATGCTGAAACTATTAGGTTTGAGTCTCATCACTAGTATAGATCGAACAAAACAAATACTGTAGTTTATTATATTAATTTTTAGCATATCATTGTTATCGCTGTATAGTTAATTATTAATAAAGCTAGCCCTAGTAGTTGATTTTGCATACATAATCGCATTTACTTTTGTGTATATATTTTGCGAATTTATTTTATTGCATTAATATTTATGTCTTTTAACTCATATATAATCAAGAATTTTTCTTGGCAAAAGTGATCAGTGTGAAGAATCTTCATTTGCACGTGATTTTTTATTTGAAATTAAAGGCATAAATCAATAAAAATATTTCAAGACGTATATAATATTCTTCTGAACATTTTTAACAAAATTATATAAATTGATATTAAACATGCAATCTAAAGATGATGAGTTGGAAACTTGAGTCTCTGACTCCTTATTGAGAGAATTGAATTCTAGGCTCGTAACCGAAATTGATAAGCTTAGAAGAGAGAAGGATTCACTTATAAGTAAAAATACCGAGCTCTTAACTAGGATTATAGAATTAGAACAAACTATAAAAGAAGATGCTGAAAATACAAAGTTAAGAGATACTGAATTTAATATCAGAATATTCGAATTAGAATAATCAGCAAAAGAAAATGAAGAGCTTAGAAACAGAGTAGCAAAATTGGAACAGAATCAATACATCGATACTAATATCAAATTGTTAGATGATGAAACAAATTCTAATGATACTTCTGAACAGATAATCTCATGTAATGAGGAGTCTAATTTTGATATATACTGGGATTCAGTAACCTCTATATCTCCTACAGAAACTATATCATTTGATTTGCAAAGCGACTTACGTTGTCTGAAAGAGAAGGTAGAAAATGAATTTCTGAATTCAAAGCATAGAGAAACAATTAGAAAAAAGATAATTCAGAACATTAAGGAGAAGAAACTTTAGGATCAAGAGTTACTCTCAACTCTTGAGAATACTATCTCTAAGATTTTTATATCACTGAATAAGAATATTTTTATACTCAAAGCAGAAAAATCATTACTTAATAAA